GGTCTATGCCTTACTCATCTCTTACTCATCCTATGGTGCGATACGTCGCAATTCTTTCACCATCGTATTATTCATCGCACTATGGTACATGTGACTAACCACTCTTCGATTAGTCATGGACACTTCTCTGTAGTATATAAGGACTTCAGATTGCGTCCTCCCTCTTCAGTCTTTCCTTACTGACTGAAGAGTGAGTACTTCATTATATCTACCTCTAACTTGTAGTTACTTACTTAACCTTTGTAGTCTTGCTTCAACTCTAGGTACAGTTCGTTGCTGCAATATAGTCTTTCCTTACTGACTGAAGATCTTGCTTCAACTCTAGTCGGATCTAATCCTTGTCTTCACAGCCCCGAGTTTATCAGTGCAGCTCGAAGATGGCGGGAGATAAGCAGGCAGGCGCACGCAAGGAGAGCTCGGAGACGTCGGAAGAGAGCCAGGGATGTCACAGAGGTCACCGAGCGGGGAGTCACGGGGGTAAAGCCACCAGACGTTAAGGTGCTCGGGAACCTCCGATTTTTCGTTCCCGCTTGAAGCTCCGAACGTCTGGTCACGAGACTACCATATCTGCACATCATCGCAAACCAAGTCCTGAAGGCCGGAAAACGCCGTGATAAATCGGACGAAGGCGGTGCAATGTCGAAACCGCACCCCTCGGAAAGTGAGGCTCCGAAGGCCTCGCCCGAACTGTCGACAGCAGTGAAGAGTCGACCCGTGTATTGATGTAAATCTACGTGGGCGAGGAAAGTTCTTATAGCCAAAAAATGTGATACTGCGAAGATCGGGGAGGATCGACAGTAAGGGGAAGGGGGAGAACTCTTCCAGGCGTATTGTGAGAGAGCGCACGATGGACCGAAAATTAGGCTGAGCCTGGAGGACATCGCAGAATACAAAGAGCTGCTGCCTGCGTTCTAGCTGAACATGGTTGAAGAGAACGAGGGAGCTACGGGGATGGAGTTGGCGGCAGGTGAGAGCGAGGTTGCAGAGAGCCCTGGTGTGTTCGGATGAATGATCGATGACCTTCTCGATGACCTCCCATGGAAGCGTTGGCCAGAGAGCGCAATCCCACGGGCAGCTGTGTCCGAGGTAAAACAGGAAAGGGGGCCCTATATGTCGTCCATGTGGAACAGAGAAGGAGCTGGCTCAACTCGAAAGACGGCGGGTTAGGCGCGCAGTCAGTTGAGATACGATCCTATGACATAGCCTCCGCCGCTCGGAAGTTACCGCCGCTCACTGAGCTCGAATATTGCGCGCACTACTCAGGTCTGCTTGTGTTCCCGATCACTACAGCATATATCCTAGCAGGACGACCCTGACCACCTCTTACCCGCCCTGAGGTGTAACACACAGGCCTTCGAAGTGTTACGGCAATTCACGTTTCGATCCGCTCGCAATGGCCCAATGCTTCAAGTTCCCGAGGCATGGAAGCGAAGGACGTCCGGGCTGTTACGATATCGGTCGTATGTTCACTCCCAAATTACCCGATTGATAAGACCGATGTTCCGAAGAAACCAAGGCACGTGTCGTCCCATCTTCGAAGCCACCGACATGCTGGTCCCTCGCGGAACAACCGCAGCACACTTGGACCTTGGGCGGAGCACCACGCCGCGGTTCTCGGGCATTTGTGTTTGCGTGAACGGCGTGACGGAGTTCCAACTCATGCCTATATCATTCCGAGTCCTCTCCTGCCCAGAGCCCTCCTAACTCATACGAGTGTTCACCGATGGTATCGTACCCCGTCATGGTCACTGCGTCCAGTCAGTCCAATCTGTCTCGCGTCATATACATCTCCCTGCTGACGGGTGATCTGGTGCCTGATCATGTCGCAGGCGAAACGTGTATTGAAGGCCTGGTGCCCACCGACGCCAAGATTGATCGCCAGCGGAGTAAGCCGTCCTCACGTCTTTGGAATGATATATGATCCTAGTCTTTCTAAGACCCCTCTGCTGAAAATGAGCTAGAAATTGGAGAGGGCAGCACTCCCGAAGGTACGTGCCAGCTTCCAGCGAAGTTCGAAGCCGTCCATGCATGAATCATAATCTTGTCGGTAGGCCAGTCTCCCCCATATACTCCCCCACAAGAGAACCTCCTTCATCCCACATGCACTTGTCCACGCCGTCGGGAGCCCGTGAACCAAACAGAGACAGCGACGACAAGCCCGCCTGATGGCACGGACTGGAAGAAGGTTGCCAAAGTGGTCGGCGGGGTTGCCTTGGTAGGCGCCGCAGTGCCCACACTTGCTGTCGCGGGTGTGGCAGCCGCGCTTCCAGTGATCGGCTTCGGTACTGGGGGAGTCATTGGTGGTGGGTAGCACTGTCCCATTGCGAGCGTCATATCCTTGTTCACCTCGAGACTTACTTGCTAGGATCCATCGCGGCTGGCATCCAGTCCACACTTTACGGAGCGTTCACGGGCGGACTGTTCTCCGTCTTCCAATCTGCAGGTGCGACCATCGTCGCGCCAGCCGCTCTTGAAGTGGTCGCGGCTGCCGGCGCCGCGACCATCGGCGGTCGCATGATTGGTGCTGCAGCTGAGGAAGAGTCTGAAGAGCGTGAGAGAGATGTTAATGGGAGAACAGACACACGTGTGGATTGCGCGTGTGCGCAGTGTGTTTGCGACGCGTTTTGTGCATGTGCGTGTCGGAAGTGGCAGCGGCGCCGTCTAGATGAAGAAACACTCCGTACTTAAGGATGGACTGTGAAGCACGAGTTGGCTTATGAAGCTATATGTTGGCAATCTTGTTATTTGTGTGACACCAAAGTACGCATGCTGTCGCATCGAAACGGTTCTCGTCAGTGTCAACATTTATCCGTGTATGTCTTGACGCACACTGGTACCTGGGGATGTAGGGGCAGGAGAAGTAGTTGCGGTTATGTCGAAACAGAGTGCAGGGGATGCACAGGATTGAACAGGGAGGGCAGCGACAGGGATAGCGGATTGGATGAATCACTGATAAGTATACTGGGATATTGGTAAGAGAGTACAGCCATATGACGAAAAGCGAAGGTGATAAAAAGATGTCGAACACGAGGAGCTGTATGTATCGGCTAATAATGCCTATCTCTGTCCATCCCATCCTCATGGGCGCACGGGTGTTGATGACAACTGTAACAGCGAGTAATAATATACAAAAATGGGGAGTGCAAAAGAAAGTCGAGCGTCCGCGCAGTGCGACAACACATGAAAACACAACAAGACATACTTTTCCTCCCCTAGCTTCATCCACTCACCGCGCGAACGCACTCGGGGGCGGCACCTCCTTCCTCTCCCTATCTTTCTTCCCGAAGATGTTAGGTGCCGTGAGACTCAGCTTCCTCGTTGCGCGCTTCCAGTTGTTCCCAGTCGAGCTACTCGAGCTACTGCTGTGCGGCACGACCGGCGTGTCGCCCACCCCGCCCCCTCCCGACCTCCCAAAGCTCAATGAAGTCGCGTAAGGGTCTGGTTCTGAGTACGCTGAGCCTGGCGGACCGGGGCGCGCGTGCCCGTGTGTATGCGAAGTGTGGTTTGAATGCGAATAGGTCGTGGAGGAGTATTGGGAATCGGATTGAGAGATGCGGGCTGGGGGTGGGACCGAGTCTGATTGAGCTTCTCGTTGTCGTTCTCTCCCGCTGTCGCCCGCCGGTGTGGATGGGAGAGGAGGGAGGGACGCCTCTTCTGGCTGGCGAGGTGACCCGTCGGCGGCGTCGCGCTCCTTCCGTTTCGGCGGAAAGAACGAGTCCGCAGCGGTGCCCTTCCCGGGCGTCATGGGCGACCCAGGTAGCGTGGGCAGCGGGGGTGGCACACCCACGCCTGAGTGGTAGCCCCTGGAGGACGATGTCATGGTCGCGCCCGCAGTCGACGGACGGGGAGGCAGCTTGGAGGAGGCGTTACCCGACGCGCGCTTCTCGCGTCTGACGCTCTTCGATAAATCCGGGGCAGACTTCTTGTGTGAAGAGGGTGAGAACGGAGGGTCGGTCCGCGACCCGGAGGCGAATGGGGGCACGGGCGAGGACGGGATGGCGGGCGAAGACGTGCCCGAGATCGCCGCCTCGGACCCACGCCGGCCGAGCCGGGATAGGGAGGGCGATGCGACAGGCATCGTCTCCTCGCGGGTGCTCTTCCGGCGGAACCACGTGCTCGACTTCTTCTCGGGAGTGCGCTCCTTATCCCTCGTCGCGGCCGTACCATTCGGAAACGCGTAGCCCTTCGAGGGGAGGGGAGACGACGGTACGGATGGCACGGTTTCGTGCGTGCTGGTCTCGGTCGTGGACGCCGTAGCAGTCGTTTCTGTCGTTTGTGGTCGACGCGTTCTCGGGGACGCGGGTGTCGAGGAGAGGGGAAGGAGGTTCGCAGAGGAGTCGGTAACACTGCGTCGGTATCCGTCCTTGCCGTTCGGGGTCTTGAGGCGGAGCGAAGGAGTCTGGCGAAGGGTTTTCAGCGCCTTGCCAAAGGTGCCATGACTATGTTTCTCCCGAGAGGGAGACATCGGACCGGGGGTCGGCGGTCCATCTGGCACGGATACGACGAGGTTGGGGTAAGAAGGTGTAGGGGCAATGACGGGCAACGAGTCGGAGGTGTTATTGGTTGAAGATATCGGTTGCGCCGCCCCAGGCGTCGGTAGAGGGGAATCACTCTTATCTGATAAGTTAAGGTCATCGACCGAAGAATGCAGTCCAGGAGGTCTCTGAAGAGATGGTGAAATAGGGGTATGGCTTTGTTCGCTCGGCTCAGTGGTTGCGATACCGACGGGCTTGCCAGGGACGGAGCCGAGGTCTGTTGTCGCTCTAGAGCCGGGGGGAGGTGATGCGGACTTGAGACCGAGCGCAGCAAGGTCGATGTCTACAGCTTGATAGTACAATACGTAGGCCGTTCCGCTGTTGGAATCGCCGAAGTACTTAGGGATGTCGGACTCTTTGACAGTTGAGACGCTGTCATCGTCAAAGAGTGTCCATACTCCCCTTGCCTTTATGATAGTAACATAGTGCCCATGGTGCGGGCCGCTGCAAAGGGCAGAACAGAGTGAGCAGGGCGAACAACGATGGTCTCTGCAACTAGTATACATACTTTCCAATGTGCACAACGATCGCGAAGAGCTCGTATAACCGGTCGGGATCCTCCGCGTCGTCCACAGTATTGAATAACCGAAGCTCTAACGGGAACGCTACGCGATACGCGAGCTTGATGTACTTGCCGAGATCCTCCTGATACTTGAAGCGCTTCAAGTGCAGGGCAAGGACGTTCGGGAGCTTCTTGATCTTCATTCTACAGTTCGGGGGTATTCAACGACCACGCCGCTTATCGAAGAGGAACAACGCACCTCTTCTCGGCCTCCTGAAGGTCGCAGCAAGAGTCGCAGAAGAACTTGTTCTTCTGGCACAGCATCTCGCTCGCGCTGAACTGCCTGAGACATGCGGTCACGGATGAGTTCTGCTCGATGTCGATAGAGAGGTCGATGAACGACTCGTCGCGGGAGGAGACAGTTTCACATGTTAGACAGCGCGTCTCGCTCGTCAAGACACCCTCGAACAACCTGTGCACAATAGTCGAATGGTATGCTGTGGCCTGCGCCGTCGACGTCGAGGGCGCGGGCTGTGTGGACAGTGTCGCTATCGATGTGGACACTTCACGAGGGACATATGGGTCATTCCGAACTCAGGCAGGACATAAGAATAGGATGCACTCACGGTCCTCGCCCGACTTCTCTACCCCATTCGCGTTAGACCCGAGCTTCCGCCCATCGTCCTCCATGTCCTCCATTATCCTATTCAGGAGGTAGTTCAAAAATTCGTGCGCATCCTGGTGCTGAGCGGGGCGGAATATCTCGTTCAGCTCCTTAAGCTTGTCGATGAACGCCTTCGGTGCCACGGTGCCCTTGTCCGCCGGGTTCCTGCTGATGTGCAGGAAGAGGGAACGGAGGGCTGAGAACAGAGTCGGGGGTGAAGGCGGGATGGGGATCGCGGGCGGCGCATGGGGATTGACTGCGGGGGATTCGGAGACGGAGGACGTGCGGATGGGCTTCTTGCGCGAAACAGTGGGGGTCTGCTGGGGATGGCTTGGGACGGGTATGGGTATGGGAGGGACGGAAGGGAGCGGCGGAATGTCGGGAACGGAAGGGTCTGGATATTGGAGGAGAAGTTCGCGAAAAGGACCGCAAAAGTAGAGGGCCTGAAGGACGGAGTTGGCATAACTGAAACAAGGATAGATTAGCGAGAGGTCTTCAGTACTGCGTCGGAGACCCGTGGATGTGATTGGAGAGTTGGAGGGGACGAGTGTCGTCACAATATCGGAAAGAAAGTCCGATGACTTTCATAGCTCTCAGCCGCAAGAGCTGGACGTGATGACGCCGAGCACGGAGAGAAGCAGGTTCGTCGGTTTCCTACCGCAAAGGTCGGTGCTTGGCGAAGGGCGGCTAGCTCTAGCTCACTGATAGTCGAAATAAGGGCGGCGGTGCGGAGAAGAGCGCGGCCAAGCCGATAAGAGGGGTCATAACGGTGGCAAATTTCGATAGACAGCGGACACGATCGAGAGCATCTCGAGGGAGTGTTTGGGTATGATGCGATGTGGGATGGGAGCGCGCGAGAGCAATGATCACTCACCAAGTGTTGCCAAACTGAAAGATGTTAATATCATGCTAAGAATAGCAGCGAAGCAAGGTGAAGACTCACATTCTCGAGACCAAAGAGCTTCGCGTCTGCAGCGGAGATGATCGGAGGCTGCTGGACGACGACGGGGGCGGGAGCGGCGGGCGTTTGGCTTGTTCCGAAGGAGATCCATTTTTTCATGGCGGAGGTGGGGATTCAAAAGCGATCCCGAGCCAGCCAGAGTGCAGAGAAAGGCCGCAATTGGTGTGGGCTGCGGAGGACGAAGGAGTGGACGGGCGAGAGGTTGGGCGAGAGAAGGCGGCAGTACTTGTGACGCTCATCCGCGCAGGCTGAGCGCTCACCGCTGAGCAGTGTCCGGGTCCGCGCCGCCCGTCCGCCAGGCACACGCCGCCGACTCCGTGTGCCAGCCAAACCCAAGCACTTCCTCGCCGCTTCCTAAGCACTCGCATCTCCTCCCAACATCCAAACCACACCACTATACTCAATGCCAGGCGTATGACAATGTCTACAGACCGACATACCCATGTTCTACTCGGGACCGCGCTGTAATAAATTCAACGTGCCTGGTGCCTGCCGGGTATTCTACTCACAATATCAGACGTATCCCACGCACTCCAGGCTGTAGTCAAGCCCATTCCTCCATGATTTGTCGCGAGGTCTTTGCAGGTCCACTAATATCATGGGGCCTGTACAAAGCGATCCGATATCTTCGGCCTCCAATTGCTGCACAATCTACTGACAACTTGGATCATTTCCATCATCGGGTCGGTGGCGTAGTTGGTTATCGCATCTGTCTAACACTATGTGTTTGGGCGCACAGAAGGTCCTCAGTTCGATCCTGGGCCGACTCATTGTTTTTTGGAGATTGCAGCTATGAACGAAGACGCTGTTCCGGACTATGCTTGTCTGTGCTCCTCCAGGAGTCTCTCACTAGCTCAAAACCGCGCTCTGTTTATGACAGAAGACGCACATCGGCCGCTTCCCGCGGGGAGCCAGATGTGGCTGTGCTATAATTGCGATCACAAGCGCCAAGACCATAGTTTAGCCGGCGGACGTCGGGAAGAAGTTCGAAGAGCCTTCTGTCGCTTTCTGCGACCAAGTCTCTAACTACATTGTCTCTGACTGAGACCCATCGAACGGCAAAATCAAAACCTCTGCTTCCCCACCGAGCTCTGAATGTTCAAATGTACCCCAACAATACTGCATTCTCGATTCACGGTAAGCCGCCACGGCCCACCGTCTGCTCTCACCATCATTCCATCGACTCACAGCCCCTGCGCAGATATCTCTACTTTTACCAGACGTGTTATGTAGCGATGCCAGGTATTGACCGTGCTATATGCTCCGCTTCGATTCTGACATGTTCCTGTGGGGTGCTACAGCAACCGTGCTTCAAACGTGTAGATGCCATTGGACCCGGTCACCCGTGGACTGCAAGCGTCTGAGCTAGCCTGCGTATACCTCGTTGCAACGACTCTAATTTTCGAAGCTGATGCTCTGATAAGCCATGCTGCATCCACTCAACAGTTCAGCGTGTAACAATGCTTCTGAAGACACCGGGTCATGAAATTTCAATTGCACGGTATCAGCATGAATGCGTGTCCAATGTGGACAAGTGCATCGAGCGTTGACACTGGCCAGTGCTGCTTTCAACTATTTAAGGCGTGGCGCAGTGCGTAGTGAGCTTACGGCTACACGTGAGCCTGTTATGGTACACCGCAAGAACGTGCACGGCGTGAGCGTGAGAGGACCCTCCCATGATCCTTCCTATCTCCTAGACTATGGACACCAGGTATGTGGACAATATATCGTGTTTACCACATGCTGGGTCTACGAGAGTTAAGTGTTTGAGATGGGTATGTCGGGATCTACTCTATTCAAAGTCGGACAGAAGGATGTCGATCTCAACATGTACGGGCCACTGCTGCCACAAGCGATGCATTGTGTATCAATCTCGGAGGTGCGCAGACCCCTCTAGATTACGGCGAAGAGCACGACTGGTCTAGAAGCCCTCGAATGGGTCCAGTGATCCATCTGACAATGACAGGCTTCCCGTATGTCCGGATGATGAGATGATGGAGTCTCGACCTCGTTCCTCCCCGGCTTGACCACGTCTCGTTGTACGTTTTGGCCCACGGGACTTTGACATATCTTCAGGATGTGCGCACATCTGCGACGTTCAACGAGAAGAACGCACAATGCGGTATGAGACTCATCTAACATTCACTTCACAATCACCCTTCCCACCGCAGATGCCGCGTTGACTGAAACCTTCCTGAGCGCCGCACTCGTTCGGCATGTCATACTCCCACAGCGCAGTCTTCGAATTGCGAAAGCCGAGATACATTTCTGCAACGTTCAAACGAGAGCCAGGTCTCGCCTTCTGGTAACTTACCAAACGTCCTGCAATTCAGGTGGCAAAGGTAGGCATCAGTCGGAAATATTCTGCTTCCAACTGATGGTTTGTACTTCCCAGGATCTCGCCTCTTCACTCGAGGATGCTTCGTTGCCACTCCCCAGACTCGCAGTCTCTCACGCTCGGAACATGCACTTCCGCGGCGTCATACTGGAAGCTAGAAGCGACCTCGTCCCATGGTATGCGTGTTCAAGCGTGTATCAGGCATGCAAGTGACTTCGACTTAAACCATGGTTAGCTCTAGAATCCGCGCCTGAGGTGTGCGGCAATGCGCCCAAACAGGGCTGCGACATATCCACAACTCTCGAATGTATATGACCCGCTGTGCCGATCACAGCACTAATGTGGAATGCTTTACCCCAGAGGTTCCGTGGAGTCTGCAGCGCGTATATGTCCACCATGATGTTAGAAGGTCGCTCCTAGTGTCGTTGGTAACTTTGTTCAGCAGCAAATCCTCGTGGGCAGGACCATATATGCCGACGAACGCACATTCGACTGATGGCGACTATACGTCTACGGTCTTCAGGTGTTCTATTCGTCCACTTCGGTTGCAAGCCACGACTATCCCTGCAAGCAGGAACATGTTTGACTTCAGGACCCTACAAGGTACACTCTCTCGTCTGCCAGTTTCAGTCAAACCCCCGGCTATGCCAATTGTAAGGATGCCTTCGAGAATTATGTGTCTACATTTGCTGATTAGTACTAGGACGAGGAGTTGGGTTCCATCGGGCAGACGGGTTACTACGAGGGATGGACGGAGTGCGCGGATGCACTGCGGGAACGCGACGAAGACAACGTGAAGGCAATGTCTGATGAACTTGACGCTTTTCTGGCATTTGTGAGTACCGGGGGCCTGAGATGAATAATCTCACTCTACTGATGGTTTCTCCTCAGTCTGGCATATTCTCGGCTGTCATCACCCTGTTTGTAGGCCAAAGCGTTACATCGCTTCAACCCGATAATACTCAGGCTGCTGTCGATATCCTTCGGACAATCTCTCAGCAGATCGGGAACCAGAGCGCCGCCACCGTGGGGTTGAAGACGGAGCCTTTTCAGAGCAGCATCATCGACATTGCCTTGAACGCGCTGCTTAACGCGGGCCTGCTCTGCAGTCTCATCGCGTCTGGCATGAGCCTATGGGTCAAGCAGTGGCTCCGCGAGTACGTCCTCGACGAGCCCTCCCTTCCACGCAGCCGCGTTCGAGTGCGCCTTTACCGATACCATGGCCTTCGAATGTGGCACATCCGAGGAAGCGTTGCATGCATCTCGATCCTTCTACAACTCAGCGTCCTCCTCTTCTCCACTGGCGTCGTCATGCTCGCTCACAAATTGAACACTACGCTCTCCTGGATCCTGCTCGCGCTCAATGGCGCATGGTGGGCGGTGACGTGGGGCTGTGCCATCGTCGCTGCAGCCTCCGCCAATTGCCCATACAAGTCGCCCCTCTCCAGGGCGATTTTCCGCCTCGGATACCATTTCCGACAAATCTTCGGCAGCCGCGTCCGCTTCCTCAGGGAGTCAAACTTCGGTAAATACCCTACCTTCGAGAAGAGGGAGCTGGAGAAAACAGAGCTTCACTCTACGAAACTGGAGCTTGAGGCCCTCACATTTGCCAATCGCGAGCTCTGGGGCAGCGACCGGCTCACACGTATCAACGAATGCTTCAGGGAGTTCAAGGCCCGGGAGCGACCACTTGCGTTGAAGCACATCGAAAAGATCCTCCGCGCTCACTACTCTCTCGAGACAAGCGCTGATACATTCGAGTGGCCGGGTCAAGACCGCTTGGTCGCCACTGCTGATAAAGTGGTAAAGCAGCTCATGCGGATATGGTGCGATATCTTCGTGGAGCATTACGGCGAGAAGGCGCGTGTTCAGTCATTGTACCGGCTCTTCTATAGCGTGTCACAGGGAGAGCAGCACCTGTCCCACACTCATTATGCGCAGACGGAGGAGGTTGCTTGCGGCAGGCCCAAAGTCAGAGGGAAGTCGCCCATTATGTCGGACGGCGGGGTGACCGTGTCAGTAGTTCCCGTAAATCCATGTGCCATCGCAGACTAGGTTTCTTTCGTGCCAGTGATGCATTGTCTGTTGTTTACTTGTAATTTCTTTCGCTTCCCGTATGCAGCTGTGTAGCGACTCGACTGTAATCTATATGTTTTGCCCGTCCTCCCCGTGACTGCTTGAATATTACAGATGTGTTGCTATGATATCCGCAAACAAGGAGGCATACGGGAGGTTGCCAAACTTGCTGGCCAGTAAGATCAGAGACAAGAAAGCTGCACCGGTGAGGCTGATCATCATTTTGTCTGTCACCGGGCCAGCGGAGTCCACTTAAAACCTGCGGACTGAGTAGCATCGAACCATCGGAAAGAGAGAGCACGGCAAAATCAAATACTATTCGGGGGAGACGGAGCTTGTCGCACTTCTCCACGTCAACCGCAAGCACTGGGTAAGCGTGCGGCTCAACAGCGTGAACAAGTGCTTCAAGGAAGTGAAGAACAAGTCGAAGGCATTGGAGACTGCCGAGCGGATCTTCTCGGACGTGTACAAGTACAGCGAGCTCGAGAGGCTGCCACACGCCCGGCAATGACAGGAACTCGTGGACTTGATCAAATTCTGGACGGAGATCGATGAGAGACATCATTCCGAGATAGAAGGCCAGGAACAGGGACAGTCGAGAACACGTACCTGAACGGTCTGAACCGGGGGATTCGGCGTTGGGAGTTGGGAATCAGATCCCTAGTAAACCTTTGGTGGGCGCGACGAGTCGCGGTACGGGCGCTGTTGGACATGGCATGCCGTCGCGTTTGTAATCGATCTAAACCATTGAGCGCGAGTCCCGTGAAACCGGGCGACGAAGAGGGGAACGGAAGTGCTGAGACGGAGAGGAGAGGAGATAGAGATCGTGTTCGAATCACTGTTCGATACTATATAATAGAGTTGGATGCTGATCTACCAGATGAGCCCCATCGTGTATGCGTCATTTGCCAAATATCGCATTCATTGGGTTTGGGCTGAGCTTGTTACGACACAAATTCACATACCGTACTAGCCCATACTGGTGGCAAATGTAGCAGATTCAAGCTCGAGGTTAACGTCGACGGCGGCTTACAGCGCCAAGGGCGCTTGATACACGTGGGGCGAGAAGCTGCGTCCATGGACTTTGTCGATTCGGACGTGCTCCTCCTCTCCGCAGCCACCGACGACTCGTCTCTTCCTTCTTCCACTCCTGCAATGACCCAAGACCTACCGTCTTCCTCCGGCTCGAGGCGAAGGCCCGCAACCTCAGATGATCGCCCTCAGACTCCACCTCGTCCTTCCGACAGTCGAGAAATTGACCCCGCCACTTTCTACGGCACAGGATCCTCAAAGCTCGGTTCCTCCAGCACTTCTTACATTCCGCCAGAGAGCTCCTCCTTTCGAGAGCCGGTACTTGTTGTTGAGGAGCCCATACCCAAAGACCCTCCCAATTGGATGCCTTCTAACACCTGGGGCGATCCTAATAATGAATGGGAGAATCTCAATACCTTCGACAGCTGGGGAGAGACAGGCATAGCTCGCAAGATCAAAATAGATGGAAGGGATGAGTCCGAAGAGCTGCATTGGTACGATTCCTCCCTTCGCACTTGGAAGGCGCGGCCAGGTCCGGGTGTCCTTCCACCCCTCCTTGCCGATATGCTCCATGACCCAGACCATGCACTCTACTCGGTGAGCGCTCAGCCACATCCTCCCCTCGTCTCGCCTCCTCCATCACACACTCCGAGCGCGGACGAAGTCCGGACCGCGATCCCCCATCCCAACGCGTACTTTTGCCGGGAACATAACGGATGGGTCCTACTGCTGTGGAAGTCATCCACCGTCCTGCCGCCTTTGCACAGGAACCCGGAGACGCCACTCCCCGACCAGAACCGACGGAAGCGAACAGCCTCTTGCGTCGGCGATGGCGAGCAGCCATCTGGGCCCTCCAATATGACCCATCACTGGCATCGGTACGAGAAGGCGGTGGACGCGACCAAGTTGAACCCTCCATACGTGTACGGCGAACTCCTTCTGGACCTCTATATCTGCTGCCAATGTTCCATGTACTGCCTGGTCTCGGATGTGATACCCGGTGTTATTCCCGCACCGCTCGTCAAAGAGTTCACGCTCGACAAAATAGGCCATCCTGCTATAGACAAGACTCCTAAGGCAACTGCTGTGGCTGCTTGGGAGACTGTGTTGACGTGAGTAGGACATCGCGTTCGCGTTCGTCTCTACTGCTTGTGTCTTACCTCCGGTCAATACATTGATTCTTCAGTATAATCGATAATCGGCTGTGGAGAGACGAGACACGGGCGCTGCCTGTAGGAAGACCTAGGTTCCAGACAAAAATTGGTTGGAACGGCCATGTGTAAGTTGGGTGGATCCCGATGTCCGACCGCGCATCTGCTGACTGAACACAGCGAGCAAGTCTTCCAAGTGTTGGGGTTTCCCACGGACAAGCTCGCGCAAGGCGATAGCAACACGCAAGAGCTCACTCTACAACCGCCACCCATCGATCCTTCTACAGCAGAAGGAAAGGCGTCGCGTACAAAGCTTCTCCGCGCCTGGGTTGAGCTAAGCGCGTGGCTTGCTATCTACGAGAAGGCGAACAGTGAGTAGTGTGCGCTGCGACGATGACGATCGCTAACAACGATCGCAGAGGAGGCGATGAAGGACTACAACCCCATAGTGCTTCATGTGAGGGCGGACAGCGAGCGCGATCTGTACCAGACAGCCATCGGCGCGCACGTTTCTCAGCGTCAGACTGTCTTAGATATTCCTTTTGAGCTCCTATACTGATGAATTCTGCAGTCTCGCGCGGGCACCTGCCTGACATCTTAGCATCGTACACCGCATTGGAGCCATCTTGGAAGACACTGGGCATGACCCCAAGCACGTATACATGGGGTAGGCTCATCCGCAGCACCTGATTGTGGTAATGGTAGCAGTGCGCCTTTCTGACTTGTATCGCCTGTGCAGAGCTTCTCGCCTTCGCGTACCTCGCGCAATGCAGATGCGACCCTGCGAACACGATGACGTACTTCGCCCATCTACTCACTATCGTGAACACGATGCTGAGCCTCCACGTGAACGTTCCGGGCGAGCTCCAGGGTCTAATCGTCGAAGAGCGCGAACGGTACCGATTTACCCCGGAAGACTATGCGAATGCAGCGCGCCTGCTCGGCTTCGGACGTGACAACGACCTCGGAGTCGAGCTCGATGGTGAGGTGGATGACGACTTCATCGCCCAGGCGTGGCGGAGTGCGCGGCAGCGGGCGTGGCAAGACTTCTCGGACGTGGCGCGGAAACGGGCGCAATTGAACGATGCCCTGAAAATCGTCGCGGAGCAGCGGGGTAGCGAAGCCTTGCTCAAGGTGTGGAGCGAAGAGAAAGGGAGCGGAATGTCCCCGGAGACGGCGTATCAAACGCTTTACGTGCCGAAGGATGTCGATGAGACGATGCTCTTGACGGTGTTCTCGATGCGTGTATGTGCTATTCCGTCGTTGTCTGATGTTTATGTGGAGCTTTTTGGCGTTGACGTGACTGTGGACGACCAGGTTGAGGATCAGCCGAGTCAGTCGGAAAGAATGCGCGAGGCTTTGAGCGTGATCGCGGAGGTCACGAACAGCGAAAGACTACGCCAATTCCTCGCCACTGGTAATGATCGTGAGCAACCCATTCTCTGCTGATTTTAGTCCTATCTGACCTTTGTTGAGCTGGCGACTCCACCGTCATTAACATCAGCCCCGAAATGCCAAGAGGCCTCAACCAACTGGGGAATACATGCTACCTCAACTCCCTGCTCCAGTACTTCTATACCATCAAAGACCTGCGGGCTGCGATCGCGTCACTGGCCACAGCGGACGCGAAGTCCTTCGATGAGAAAAAGTTTACAGATGACGATTTGAAGCGCCATCGTGTTGGCGGACGTCTTGTCACACGGCGCGAGATCATGCGTTCTAAGAAGTGTACGTTTTCGTCCTCTTCCGAAGATCCCTTTGTGCTCACTCATTATCTGCAGTCGTAAACCTTCTTGCCGACCTCTTCTGGAACCTGGAATTCTGCGAGACCACCGCAGTGACACCCGCGATAGAGCTCGCTAAGCTCGCACTGGTGACGTCGCAGGACGAGGAAGAGGACGAGACTTCGGACAAGGCAGGAACTGACTCCTCAAACGATACTGACGCGACCCTCGTTGACGATATGGCGCCGCGATCGTCATTCGATCGCTCCTCTCCGCCTGCAACGCAGCTGCAGAGCCCGAAGAGCCCTACCGGGAGTGTGCTCGGAAAACGTTCCCGCGACCGTGATGGAGAGTCGGCAATGGACGTTGATACGCCCGCGCACACTCCCCCTGGGCCAAGTGCTTTGAGCCCTCCAACTATGAAGGCGAGCGGGTCGGGTGAAGAGGCTGCCAGCTTCATTGAGAATGCCATAGGGTCTTCTTCGAAGCGACCTGCGACAAGTGACCCGGATGTAGAGATGCAGGAGGATTCTTCGTTGCAGGCCCCAGGGAATGGGAAGGTGCCGCCGCCGTTGCCACCGAGGAAGGCGAGACAGACGGACGATTCAGTGATGATGTTCGGTATGCGCTGGCCTACTCTATCATGTGCGGATGCGCTGACATACTGAGGTGATGTGTAGGACGACAGCATGACGTGTCAGAGTGCATGGATAACTGCATGTTCCAGATCGAGACGGCGCTACTCGACTTTCAGGGCATGGCCACTTCCGACGACGACAAGACGAGTCCAGTAAAGAGGTGCTTTTCAGTTGTGATATCACTACTGGATCATTGCTGACGCAACCTCTGCAGGTTGTTCTATGGCAAGAAGCGGCAACGGCTGCTTTCTCTGTCTCTTAACGAAGACCCACTACACCAATCGTCAATACACGAGAAGGAGGACTTGTTCTCCCATCTTCACGTGAACGTCGCAGATGAGGGATTCGACCTGTACGACGGGCTTGCCCGCTACTTTGACGACGTCGTAGAGGTCGGAGGGCAGAAGAAGCGTATGGAAGTCTCCATCGTCGATCCACCACCCCTACTTCAGGTGCAGCTGCAGGTAAGCCCTTTTCATGCGGTCGTGATCCAGCATCTGCTCACCTTCGGTGTAGCGGGTGCAATTCAATCGCGAGACGCAGCAGGCATACAAGTCGCAAGCGTATGTCAAGTTTGGAGAGACGATCTATCTGGACCGTTTCCTCGACAGTGCAAATCCGGAGAAGAAAGCGCGCTCAAAAACCATCTATACGGAGTTGACTGCTGCTCGAGATCGCGTACAGAGGCTTACGCAGGGCAAGGTATGGTGCCCTGCATATGCTCCCATAATGTAAGCGGCGCTGACGCCCTGTATAGCATGCGCCGTTCGCATCCGCCTTCGCCAACACCGTCGACTATTTGTCCAAGCAGACAGCCATCAACCTTCCTCCGGACGACGAGCTCCTAGTATCGCTGTCAAGCGAGGAGTCGCTCATTGAGGAGCAGCTGCGCACCGATCGCGAGAAGATGGCGACGCTGAAGCAGCAGATCGAGGACACTTGGAAGGACGAGACGTCGGCGGCGTACGAGCTCACATCGGTGTTCATCCATCGCGGGTCATCGCCGTCGTGGGGCCACTACTTCTTTTACTCGAGAAATCTGCCTGACCGCCCCGATGAGTGGTTCAAGTACAATGATTCGGACGTTAGCGCGGTGTCGAAGGACGAGGTTCTCGCTGATACGACGGGGTCGACGGCAAATCCGTACATGGTGAGTCTCTGTCCGATTCAGGCGGCGGCGTTTCCCAACAAGGTCCTTGTACTAACCCTAACTCCTCGCACAGCTTGTCTTTGTGCGGAAGGGTGTAGATGTCATCGACACCGTTCACCGATTCAACCCTGACACCCTGCAAGAAGAGGAGTGAAGGGGAACACCTTGCGCCGCGTCCTCACGCTCCAGTATCTCCGTACTCTTCAGCACTCTAGTCACTTACTCGTCTCGAGCCGAACGCTCCCGCTTACTTTTGACTTGCACATCCGCCCTATTTGTAGCTCTGCATACATCACGATCAGCAGTAGTGTAGCATCATCACGCATGTTTGGTTCCATATATACTATTATGATCGAATTTGGCGAACCAAAGCTGTATCTATTCGTTCCTCTGATATTCCTTGTTTCAACTTCATATCCTATGATCTGACGGGAGGAACTGGCGGTTCCAAACGGTTTTTTGCATCTGACTTCGGCCGACGAAGATCGTTCGCAACTCGTGAACATAGATAGGAATTGCTAGCTAAGTACAAACATATGACAGCGGAAGACTACGGAAATACACAAACGACTGGACATAACATGGTAGTAGTACAGTTTATTCGGAGCAGATAGCAATGAAAGCTTCAGGCGAAGAGGGACTCATCTCCGTCAAGGGTGAGCTGGTGGATGCGGTCGGAGCCACCTTCGTGCTTGAGTCTGCAGTGGTGCGTTAGTTTCTGATCAGACTGTTTGTGAGAGATAGAGACTTACTCTGCGGAAGCAGAGATCTCTGTGGGCTGGTCAGCGTTCTTCTGGGTCCAGAGGAACTTAGTGGTAGGCTGTTCAAAGGCGGGAGTTAGAGGTAGGAATATGCACCTACTCGCTCCGGGACGTACCTTGCTAGCATCGCTTTGAGAAACGAAGTTGGCGCTGTCTGGGTTCCACCTCTTCTGGAGGGCCAACAAGGCGGTCTTCAACCCCTCCTTGTCTACCTCCTTGCCAGCCACGATGCCAGTGGCGTCGCTGGTGAAGTAGTTATTGAAGCGTGTGCTGAAGAGGTCGACGGGCCCATGGCCGAGGCGAATACCGTGAAGCTGAGGAGGTTGGTTGAAGTGGATGTAGGGTGAGTTGAGAAGAGTGGTGAGCTTCTCCTGGACGAAGTCTGGGGAGGATGCGGACATGGCGGAGAAAGGTCGTTGACTCGGATCGAGAGCAGAGGCAAGTTGGTATGGACAGGCGGACGAGGAGGCGAGGGAGGATCTGAGGGCGGACGAAGCGAGGATGAGAGCAAACGGTAAACGGGCTATATACACCATCCAAACAACGATTCGAATGCACTCCTCTGCACTTTATATCATTCAGTCGACTGCGCAAGACATGTCGCAGGAAGGAGTCCGATGACGTCAGCCGGCCACTCGGCCCGGGCACTGCAGGTCGACGACAGTCGGCGATGACCAGCCTGAGTCCATAACTACTTAGTACTCCTCCTTCTCAGAGCTACCTTTACTTATTCCACCCGCAGTGATCTCGACCCGGTCTCCGAACCCAATGATATCCAACAAGCACTCGGTACTAGACCGTCATCGCCCCCTCGACGCTCATCACTCTTCTCTGGCGAGCTCGACCCCTTGGACCATGATCGTAGTCAGTTCTCGACGCTCATTACTGACTGACAGCATGCCAAGCAGCATGCGCATCCAATGAGTGCTGCTGCTGAGAACGTGGTCGTCTGCAGACAAGGCATACTCCACGTCCTCTGTCTACTCCCATTGTTTTCTTCCATTTGCTCCAGACGTCCTGACATGCCGGCCATATCTACCGAGCTATTCTCTTGCTCAACTATCTTACTAGAGAGTGAGTCCCCACCTGCAGCCTTCGCGACCATTCTTGCAAGGTACTGGCCGAGGCCAAGTTGTACGCTCGAGTTCGTCGCGCGACAGCTTCTAGCTTCGAGGGCAGGGTTGGACGTGATGTCCGGCATATCTATAGGTTCGTCCGCCCTTAGATGATCGAGCAGCATAGAGAATTAACCGATTTGTTATGGCCGACATATGACTCCATGACCTCATTTCTAGTAGACGTAGCCCAACACGACGCGAACGCAAGCTCGGGATTTCTTGACATGGTACCTCCGCATATTGTCACTTCGCCTCCCTTATCATTGGCGGACATCATCCCAGTTGTTGTATTCCTTGTATTTTACTTGGTTTTCGTGGCTGTGTTGGTCTTTCTTGATCCCGAAGCGTGTAAAGCCATGGAGGTATGAGCTGCGACTATTTCTGGTGCTATTCGAAGTCTAACGAGACGAACTCGCCAGGAAACTGTGAACAACATGTGGAGCCAAAGAGGTACGGAGTTCTCAATGCCTCCTTATGTGTGAATATTCCTGCAGGCGCCGTTCGTCCTGATAGTGTGTCGAGGTGTGGATTATTAGGGAGGACATATTCGTATTGTATTCCAGCGAACATGGCATGGCCATCTTCCCGTGGAAAAGCTCATTCGCGCGTAGCATAGGCCGCTGGCGTATGCGGGTCTCATGTAGCAGTACGAATTCAGGCCCCATGCGGGCGATGATCAGGCCGCCTGGGACAACGCTCAGGAGAGAAGCTCTGCAGGCATGATCCATGAGGAGGGGAGGAGGAAGGTGCGTGATGCACGACCACACCTGAACCTTGTCTGACGGATCGAAGCACAGTCGCGGGATCGATACCTGGATTACAAGTAGCGTGCTATATAACACTGCCCAGAGTCCTCGAGGCTTGTCTCCCCCTGCCTCTCCCCCCAACTACTTACGCTCGTCCAACCGTTATACTTAGCATCTCTCGACCATGCCAGCCATCCCAGTAGATTTCTCACTGCTCGACCAACTTAAGCGTGGATCTGTCCAAGCTTCGCTGGAGATACCAGAAATGCGTACGTCGACACGTTGTCTGAGCCGAAGGCCCGAAGATGACACTGACGACCACTCCTTGCATCATAGCATCCCTCCCGAGTGGAGACGCGGTCGTAGATTTCTTTCGCAGGTTATACGAAGGTGCGTTCGAAGCACTCTCGGTCTCCAGCCTATTCTCTCCTACGCCAAGGTTTTTCGTTCAACGTTCGCTCTCTGACATATTCTTCGTCGGACAGCAATGGTCCAATTTTCCATGCAAGCCGCGAACGATGCTACCCAGTTCGCGAAGGAACATCCCGAGGAGTGCAAAACTGTAGCGATCGTAGTGTTCGCCGTAGTGGCAGCAGTCTTAATTTGGGTCCTCTTTCCGGTGCTGCTCAGCATTATTGGCACCATTGGAGACTGTGTCTATTCTTTCGTAAAATGTGTCTTTGCTCTTGGAGATATTTTCTTGCAGGGTAAGTACGAGCGTATTATTGGTGCAGCCTCGAAGTGACACATCTCAAAACAGTGGTACATCTGCTCCTGACGCGCCTCGAGGCATGTATTTTGTCCTGCGCTGGATTTACTCGTCGAGGGGTCAGGAGTGGTATGGCATAAACATAATGTGCAGTTTCGTGACACGTACTCATTTCCCTTGATAGGTTCGGCCGCAGCTCGCATACAGGGGGCCGCATATGGGGGATCTACCACCGGGGTATTCTCCAAGTTTCAGTCTCATGGAGCGACTGGGAGATAAGATGGTTAGCTGAACTCTCGTTTGCCGCCCTCGCCTGGCAGGTCCGAGGATGGCCTACCGGTAGAGCAAGCACGACTTTTTTTGGGAGTATGTATATAGAGTAGCTAGTCGTCTGTCCTCTAGCTAGCGTGTGTCGATTTCCAATCCCTCAATCTCAATGCATACACGAGACGTAATGTGCCTGACGTTTCGTGCACAAAGTGTTGGAATCCTGGCGTCAAGATGGCGAGCTCGCGGAACGAGCGCCGCAGGTCCCGCCGCCCCGACGGATACCCGCACCCTCATCTACCGTCTTGTATTCCGGTATATAATCCCCATTGTATCTATTGTGTACGGTACGCGTTTGCACCGGCCAAACGCGAATCTCATTTGAGCCCTCTTGCCCTTGAACTTCTACACAAGGCCACATCCACGAAGTTGCCGATGGCAATTCTTGTGCTACTCGATCTACGGACCCGAGGCTGCTCTATCCTTAGCTTCTAACCGTCCGGGTGTTCCCTACGTCTTCTTGGTTAATACACATCCTCGACTTCGCCGAACTTCTGGTGTGCCCCAGTAATGCATGGGACTTACCACTGGTGGTGAGATAGAGGCTGAAGAAAGGGAAGAGTCGTGCCTCACTGAGTAGGACATGTGCCCGGTCCCACAAGCTCAAGGTTGCGTGCAGGTCGGCCTTGCGACTCGCTCTCGGAAAGAAGTCGTCTACCGCAGCACTACGAGGAAACTCTATCGCTCAATCAAGCACTGGCGACAAAGTAGCGGGGCTCTCAATGCTTTTAAACCCCACGGGAGGGTGGCATCCCTTTCTGACAACCCTGTCGTACTCTCTCTTTCGTCCCGACTTCCTACGCTCACTGAAACTATACGCCTCAATCAACGCTATTGTAGCCGCCCTTGTTGTTGAAGACCCCTCTGAAAGGTACTCAGAATACAATATATCTTTATGTGAATGATGCCTGACTGCATGTTCGGGAATGATCCTGCGCAGATATCGTTGCCTGACTCGCAACCATGTCGATCGCAGTTGCCTGTGTCGCCTGGCTTGCTACAAAGGTCGTGCCAGTGGGACTGTTGGCAACCGTTTTCGGGGCCGGGTCTTTGTGGTTGGTTGGATTCAGACATGGCGGTATTGCACGAGGTGCATACTCGGTATTTTCCTGCAGTGCTCACCAGCCGTGCTCATTCTACCACCGTAACACAGGTACCCTAGCGGCCGCGATACAAAGTGCCATATATAAAGGACGGACCACAGGCGTATTCTCCACGTTCCAGTCTTTGGGAGCAAGACTCTTACGGCGAATGTTTTTCAAGTTCTGGTAGAGGGCGTCCGACTCCGATCCGATGATCGTGCACAAAGCGTTACGCCAGGCGATGGAACTCGTCATTGCGGAAGATTGGGATATATGTACAATATGTTGTCCGTTATGCGTTCCCTCTAAATGTATGCGTCTATGATGTCAAGGAGCAAAGACGAAAATATGAACAGTATCAGCTGACATGCCAGGAAGCAGAAAACAAAATGAGTCGTACCACAAACGTGCCGGGATAGGGGCGCCTGCGAAGTCAAACACCGCGATCCTGGTACTGTTCGCGTACCCAATGCACAGCCGCCCGATCGTTTCGTCCCATGCGACGGCAGAGACGTGGTCGAGATCAGCGAGCTCGAGGTTGAACTGATGGCTGACACGAATGCGGCTCGATTCCTCAAGGACGTCGGACTGACCGTCTTCCTCGTTGTCTTCGCTACCTTCGTCTGCGTCTTCCTCGTTGTCTTCGTTACCTTCGTCTACGTCTTCCTCAGGCTCCTCGTCATGGTCGTTCACCTCCTCGTCGTGAGCGGCGTCGTTCGCTGGCACATCCTGACTCCCAACAGCCTGTGCTTCCACTGTAGCAGGTGGCTTGTCGAGCAGGCCTTCATCCCAGACCCCGCCGAGCATGCGAACCTGGAAAGATCTCGCCTTACTCCCTTGACGCGGAACGGTGTAGATGACAGGCCGAGTCGACCCGAGAAGGATGCGGTGCTCGTACAGGTCATTCAGGCTCTCCATCCCTTCCGGCAGCGGTTCCGTCTCGATAAACGGGTCGTCCTCGGAGAGGATGTAGATGTACCGCGTACTCGGATCAGCGTCCGCGTTAGAAGTAGAAGAGGCAGGAATGGGTTCCGGGAAGAACGTACTGAAGACTAGGCCATACGAACGATCCGCCTGAACGAAGATTGTGATAGGAAGGGGCTTTGTTGGAGACGTTGGCTGCAACTCCGCGCGTACGCTCACATCGTTCTTTAGCGCCGCGCCCATTCCGGGCTGGGTGATCCACACTTTGTGCCAGAAGTTCCAACCTGCGTCGTGCACGGCCGTCCGCGAGGCCGCATCGCAAGTCAACGAGGCCCCGTCTATGGTATACTTGACGTCATAGAGCTCCGCGAAGTAGTACGGTCCAGTGAGGATTTCCCCTGGCGGAAGGTCGGCGAGGTCGGCGGCGACTTGCAATGGATCGGGGTCCTCGCCTGCGCGGCGGACGAGAAGGAACTGGTGCTGAGACGGTACGAAGGTGAATGCCACGATGGCGTGTGCCTGCATGCATACATCAGCTGGAGGAGCCCTTGGGGTACAAGCAGAGACTGACGAAGTTTTGGTAGGAAGGGTGCGGTGCGCAGTACATAGTGCACCCCAGACCTCCGTCGAGATTCTTGTAAACGATGCGGTCGGGGTGCTTGAGCACCGCAACGAGGGGAATGCCGTTCCGGTCCTCATCTATGATAGGGTTGCTCATGCGCGCGCGCGATGTGATCTCGGTGAGGACCTGAAACGGGCGATCCTGCTGCAGCGCGCGCGTGCGGTACTCTTTGGGATCCCAGGGCTTGTCATTGTCGAAGAGAAGCTCCAGAGATTGGAGTGGAACGTGCATGACGGCACATTCGTACTTGACTTTGGCAGAGAACCAGTCAGAGTCAGGCGCAAGACGGTTGATATCGAATCTGAACATCAAGCAGTGAGTATATGCGTGCTATGAGCAACGGTTATCATCAAATAGCTCACTCATCCTTGAAGCTTTCTCTACGATAGTTCCTGCGGATATAGGCGATTGCGATGCCGGGCCGGCCGTGAATGGACAGGTACTTTGCGCGCAGATGAAATGCCTTCGACGGGGTCGTGAGCCTAGCGACGGGGAATCCCATGGAGTAGTTAAAGTCGGACGTGTAGACCTCGATACAGTACCGCATTGGGTTCCGGTCCGCGACGGTCGCGACGAGGTAGTGCCCTCCAGGGAGTAGTGCCATCTCGAGAACCTTCCGCTGCGCTTCGATCTCCCACCGGCGAAAATGCTGGGGACGGTGTTGATCCCACCGTTTCGGTAAGGAGAGTGAGCGGGTGAGCAGGCGCTCGGCTTCGATCTGGGAAATGTTCGCGAGGGAATAGCGCTCGGTGGGCGGAACGGGTGGGAGTTGACGTTCGGTGTGGGTGAGGACGCGTTTCCAAACGGCAGGTTCGTTAGAACATCGTCGCAACTGATTGCTAACCTGCATATGTCGTGAGCTGCACCTGTGATCAAACGACATGAAAGAACACGGCTCTCACCTGGCGCACGGAGACGATGTCCTCTAGATTCAAATCCGGGAGGATGTTGTCGAGTATGATATCGTCATTGAGGATCCTTTGAGTAGCATTTTGAGCAGCGTGACCTAGGGCGGTCATTTTGTGCGTCAAGATGAAGGATTTGGCTATGCGTTGATCAGTGTTGTTCAATGAGCTGCTGAGCTGGCCCATGGAGGACGGCGGCAACGAAGGGCAGGCGGTGACGAGTCGCTAGCAATTTTGTTATGTAGGTCTCATATTAGGACCCTGAACGCGTACAAGGACAGTCTTGTACTCGATACAGCTTGCACGTCATCGAAGTCCTGAAGTATAAGGCGGCGGCAGATGCCGAACGAGCGCCTGCACCGGTTATTCTGCGCTCGCGGTAAGAACTAGACGACTGACATAATGGATTAATCGTGCACAGCATGAAAGAGTACAACTATATGCTATTTAGAACTTGAACACCTACGTGGGATATAAGGACAACGTTCAGGAGCGTGACCGGCAGAAGAGACGTACCTGGTCCTCGTTGTAGCCGAGCTCCTTTAGGACTCCGCTGAGAGCACCTTGTTTCATGCCTTCCTTCTTGCCAGCAAGTGCATTGACTTGACCAGGAGGACCTACAGGGCACTGATCAGATGAGAGTATGAAGATAGAGACTGAGGCGTACCACAAACGAAAATCTTGGTCTTCTCGCCGAGGTCTGCCGGGGGAATGTGTTGCGCAATGAGTTCCTTGTTGATGTAACCAACGGGACCTAGGGAAGGCACAACGAATGAATTGTACCGCATAAAAAAACCCAGACATGCAAGCACGAGCAATCGCACCCTTCCAATCGCTGGTCTCTGGCTTGTCAATGGTGTAAACGACGTTGAACGTCTGGGGATATTTCTTCTTGAGCGCGTCAAACTCCTCCTTGAGGAGGATATCCTTCTCAGTCGCGTTAGCGAAGATGAGGGTGAAGCGCGTCTTGTTGGAAGGATCCTTGAGGGCGTAGTCGAGGATCTGGTACATGGGCGTGCTGCACGGTGTAGTGAGCGCGTAGACTTGGGGGGATTACGTGAGTGTGAATGACATGCTTACATGCCGCTGCCGCCGGCAATCATGCCAACCTGGTCGAACTGGTTGACTTTGGTGTGGTGTAAGCACGAGGGCAGTGCAAGCCAGGGATCGAAAGGGAACGTACTCTTGTATTCGAACTTGGGAATGGGCCCCTTGATGGCGAGGGACTCGCCAATCTTGAGGTCGTGGATGTACTTGGACATCTTGCCCTGGTCATAGCGTTTGATGAGGAACGTAAGCTCGCCAGGGAGGTCGGAGGGAGAGATGGGGGTGTAGGGACGGATGACGGGCTTGCCCTTGGGGTCGAGAAGGGGGTTGGGAGCGTCGTCTGCAGACTTGACGACGACACAAGAAGCAATGGGAAGGAGAGAAGCGGAGTCGGGAGGGAGCTCAAAGATGTACCTGAGAGGAGGGTGTCGGATGGAGAGGAAGGAGATGGGAGATGTGAAGACGTACTTTGCAGTGTTGTGATTGTAAGGCTCGACCTTCTTGAGCTTGAAGTCCTTGAAGTTCTGGGGGTCGAGGGGGCTCTGGTCAGAGATTTTGGGCTTGAGGGAGGCAGAGGCGGTGGGAGAGCGGTCGAGGTAGAGGTAGCCGGCAATGCCAACAACACCTAGAGATGAAAGGTGAGAAGATGATGTGAGAGGACGGTGGGGGGATAGATACCGCCGCCAATGAGCCAATACGGGAGGTTGCTCGACTTTGTGGTCGTCGGAGGGGCGGTAGAGTACCGCCTGGCGTTTTGGAGCTGAGGGAGGTCAGAGAGGAAGGAGGGGAGGAGAGATGAAGAGACGTACGGCGGTACGAGCGGTGAACGATGCGCGAACGAAAGACATGGCTGCTGCAAACGTCGACAGCGCTGGTCGACAGCGCTGGTCGGAAACTGCAGACGCCGCCAGCGAGCGATGACCTCATTGGCTCGCTGATGCCCGACTCCGAGTCGAGACTGACCGGGCCGAATGTAGCGACCGGCGACGTCATCGAATGCTATCCTCAGCGACGCAGGCACGCTCAGGGCGACCCCCGCAGCTCTGACGTCATCCAAGACCCCGAAAACCTTTCTTGCTCTCCGAGCTCGTTCGCCCCCTCGCCCTACGAAAACTGTCAGAAACGCAAGAAACATCCGAAAGGAGGGACGCGCAAGGGGAGCGGGCCAAGAGACAGGCGTGCGGGACAACTATGGGGGGGGAGATGGATCGGAGGCGAGTGCCATGTTAGGGCAGTGATTAGATAAGCGACGGACGACGCAGCCAACGAGCGCTCGTCCTCGTCTTGCTCTTCTACCTTGTGTACATCTGCTCACCGATACGAACTTCTACGCACGTCCTCCCTCTCTCCTCATCGTCCCACTCGCTTCAGACGCCTCCAACCCCACCACGGCCTCGCTCTCCCCCTCCACAACCACCCGACAGAGATGTCGTTCGTCAAGCTCAGCATATTTGGTACCTCCTTTGAGGTATCTTCTCCCTCACCTCCCTCTTCCATTCACGCCCCATATAACGCGTCTCTCTCCAGGTTACAACCCGATATGTCGACCTTCAACCCGTAGGAATGGGTATGTGATCATCCCCGATCCCCTCATCTCCAACCTAACAATCCTTCTCCCAGGTGCCTTCGGTCTCGTCTGGTCAGTTCTCTTCTCTCTCACTCTCGCCTCATCAAATCGGGACAAACACCCCACCCATTCACCAGTTCCGCAAAGGATCAGTTGACTGGCTCGTCTGTCGCGATCAAGAAGATCATGAAGCCCTTCAGCACACCAGTCCTCAGCAAGCGCACCTATCGCGAGCTCAAACTTCTCAAACATATCCAGCACGAGAACGTGCGTACTCCTTGTCTCACATCCTTATACCCTTCTCATTCCTCCCCCAGATCATCAGCTTGAGCGACGTCTTCATCTCTCCCCTCGAGGACATGTACGTCCTTTGCGATCCTTATCCGTCATCGTCCCGCTTTCGGTGTTCACCCCCATGCTAGCTACTTTGTCACCGAGCTTCTCGGAACAGATCTCCACAGACTGCTCACTTCTCGCCCGCTCGAGAAGCAATTTATCCAGTACTTTCTCTACCAGATCCTCGTACGTCCCTTGCCCTACCCGTCTTCACTGATCATCCTCTCACCTCAGTACACAGCGAGGTCTCAAGTATGTGCACTCGGCTGGCGTCGTCCACCGCGATCTCGTCAGTTCACGTCTTCCATTCGCACCCTCTCGCACACTGACAGTTGACACAGAAACCAAGCAACATCCTCATCAACGAGAATTGTGACCTCAAAGTGTGTTCTCCATTCCCTGTCAGTCATCAAGACTTGCTCACACCCATCTGGCCTCTAGATCTGCGACTTTGGTCTCGCCCGCATACAAGATCCCCAAATGACCGGCTACGTCTCGACGCGTTACTACCGCGCGCCGGAGATCATGCTCACATGGCAGAAGTACGACGTCGCGGTCGACATCTGGAGCGCCGGCTGCATTTTCGCTGAGATGCTCGAGGGCAAGCCGCTTTTCCCAGGCAAAGACCGTGAGTACTTGATGCTTCCCCATACGTCATGAATGACCCCTCATCTGCTCGCGCCCGGCTGCATTAACGCCCACAGACGTTCACCAATTTTCGATCATCACCGAGCTCTTGGGCACTCCCCCGGAAGATGTCATCCAGACGATTGCTAGTGAGAACGTAAGTCCTCGCCCCAGCTTGCATAATAACGCTCGTTTATCCTTCGCTCCGTCTTCCTAGACCCTCCGTTTCGTCCAGAGCTTGCCGAAGCGCGAGCGCGTGCCCTTCAGCGAGAAGCTGCACTGCAATGATCCTGTCGGTGCGTGTCATTGCGCATCTCCGACTTCGACTTGCTCTGATGACTAGCGTCCCTAGCCATCGACCTTCTTGAGAAAATGCTTGTCTTTGACCCCCGAAAGCGCATTAATGCCACTGAGTCGCTCGCACACGAGTATGTCGCTCCTTACCACGACCCCACGGACGAGCCCGAGGCGGCCGAGAAGTTCGATTGGAGTTTCAACGATGCAGACCTTCCGGTAGATACGTGGAAGGTCATGATGTACAGCGAGATCCTCGGTATGTCGTCGCCTTCCGCACCCGCATTAATCGCACGCTGATCATCTTCCACTGCTTAGACTTCCATCAGGTTGGCGACTCGCGACTGAGCGGTGGCGTACCGGGAGGCGCCCTTGCAGGTCCCGATGACCAGACTGCGGCCGTCGCTGCAGCAGCATAACTAATCATTCTAGCCGTCATCTGTTATGTCTCTTCATCTTGCAGTGCGGACTTCAAGTACCTAGACGACGCCTCCTTTTTCAGGGCTTTCGATCTCGTGCGCTTATCTCCCGTACGTTACCCGACCTCGCTCATAACCTCCCTGACACCCATCCATATCCGTTCCCTACGATTCACGATCTACTCCCGCTGGCTTTAGCGCGCGCTCTTCAACGTGTCGCTGCGGTATATTACTACCTCTCTTGTACGCCTCCAGTCACTGTATAACACGGCCAGACTCTCCCTGTTGTAATACCCCGACCCTCTCTCCCTGTCTCATGTTATCCGTCCCGAGTGTGAGCGTCGCCGGTGACGGTGTTGACGCTGATGCGATCTTGGTCCCATTGCACTTATTGTAGTACCGCTTTGTATCAGTCAAACACGATCATTACATCAGCGAAGCCGCATCGGGGACAGGCCAGTCAACATCCTCGGCATTTCACTCGTCCTTCGCAGACATAGGTATGACCTATAATAGACGACAAATCGGCCATACTGCCTTACAAGAAAGGCATGAGGGATGTAAGAAGACAAGCTGAGAGAACAAGTGACCCGTAGTGCAGCTTTCGTGCCCATGTCTCGAAAGTGGGAGGTCAGGGTATACACTGCACGCGACGATGACTTCGCCGTACGCGGAGCATTCCTGGCCATGATACGTCCGAGTCGCGTAGTACGTGTGTACGCGTAGGTTCTGCATAGTGCATTTCCGAGATCTTCGTGGCAGGGTATAGAATGTGTCTGTCTTACCGTACACATGTAGCACAATTGTGGAGGACATAGCAAGCAATCGTTGCGAAGAGGTAATGTACTAGTCGGAGTAGATCTCGAGATTATGCGTAGCCCCGCACGAGAGCATAGGATCACGGACGCGGAGGAGGCGTCCGGTGAATACTAGTCTGGGATATGTGTCAAGTCTGTAAGCGGAGACCCACTGTCCGGAAGTGATCAGACATACCGATGAATGCAACACGGTAGCAGCCATCATGTTGACTTGACCTTGTCGCCCGAAGGGGCAGCCTCCCCAGCGGCCTCGTTCATCCAGTCCATATCCGATTTCTGCCCACTCAGCTCTCCAAAACGTCTGCTGAAGCGGCCCATACGCCCAGTGACCTCGTCTTCCTCCTCGTCCATCCCAACGAAGCGCGCCGCGTTCCAGAGCGGGTTGTTGGTCGTATCGCGAGTGAGGCGGATGATAGAGCGCGGGGATGTGGTGTAGTGGATGATCGTCGAGCCATCAACGCGAACGAGTCGCTGAGGAAAGACGGGGACGATGGGATTGGGTAGCTTCTTGGTGCGCCTCTTCCAGACATGCGTGCGGCCGTAAGGCGAAGAGGATACTGAACGCGTTTGGAGTCGTACGCTGGCAGAGGAGGACGGCGCAAGGAGATGCGTGGCACGAGACGTGCTGGGAAGGAGATATAGCAAGCTTGTCGCCATGTTTGGTGGTGCGCGGGTTAGGACGGTGGTGGCCAGCTGCAGAGGTTGGTTGTCCAGGCGCGCGTAAGTAGTGACTTCTGCAGCTTCGGGCGTCCGGACACCTATGCATCTCGACCACTACGACACTCGCCCTGAGCGCGGACAACGGTTTGTATACAGCTAGCAATGGAACTCGTATTCGGCGTTCTCGCTTCTGTGCCCGTGGGCTGAACGGACGGAGCGCGACCCGCTCGCCAGGGGCAACGTACCTGGTCGATAGGTCGTGTCGACTGCCCCCCATGACGACCGCGCTATCTTCCAGAACATATTCCTTCGCGGTCTCTTCGGACATACATATACTGTCATCCGTCGCGATGGACGGTCCTCGACTGCCCAGGTCGGCTCTACATTTGCCACCACATTCTCTGCCGCGCCTCCCCCTTTCTGGATTTTGGTGCGTGTATTCGGCCAGTGCGTAGATCGCCGTCATGGGTCCTCTCCGCACGATCGTTAGGCTTCCTTTGTACATTATCCTTGTGAGTTGCGATCTCTCGTTCGTGCACTGGATTTCACTTGCTGACCCGTGCTCGGAATGGAACAGTGGGTTTTCTCGGCACTCCTTCTCATCCTGACATGCGTGCGCTTGAACTATACTCTCCATCTTCCGAAGGGCGATCCGCTGAACAACGGTCGGGATTTCTATGGTATGTCACGTCTCTACTCTATCCCGAACAGTACAATGATCTGCGAACGTCGTACATCGTAGATCCTATTGTTGCGGAGCTGCTTGTCGTCTCTATTCTGACTCTTGGCACAATTCCTCTTGTGTGAGTACCCGTCTATGCCGGCATGAACATGACTAATGACCCATCGTCGACGGCCGCTTTGACAGTATGGAATGGGTGTCGCCCAACATCACTTCGACAGCTTCGAGGAACCTACTTGAGCTCTCCGGTCTGGCAGTGCTATGGCTGCTCTGGTTGGTCGGATGCGTCGTTTCGACTGTAAGTGTTCTTACCTCTTCAGGCGTAAACTTGACTGACCGTGCATGGATAACACCCCTTCCCTGGACCCTGGGTCTCCACCCCTAACTCACGTGTCTGTGCATCGCCCGCAGAGCATCTGGCCGAACTTGACCTTCTGCTACCAGTTTGAGCCCTGCCGCATCCTCACGGCAATGATGGCCTTCGCCTGGCTTGGATGGATAGTGCTCGTCGGTCTCATCGTTATCGCCATACTGAACGCAGTCTCCAAAGTCCGTCCGACCCGCGCGCCGATGATGGTCGAGTGGGCATCGACTCCCTCGTTCGGAGAACCAAGCGCTGTCCAGCACAGCCTTGGACCTTGACTCGGGCTGAGGTGTAGGATGAGTGTATCGATGCATGCGGGGTGAGACACTGATTGAAGTGCTGCTGTTTGACGTGATCACCTGCAGGACGTTCCCGAAGAGCAGGCTCGTTAGGGACAGACATTGTTGTACCCGGACTGGAAACTGTAAGGTGTCGAAGCTTCCTGGGTTCAATAGATACCAATAATTTGTGCAAACACATGTGAACGGAGGGGGTGTATCTGTGCGGTCTCGTGCTATGGATGCATGGATGAGTGTGGTCGTTGTGGGCGTGAGCTTGCGGCATCGATGCTTGTTTGTCCAATGTAGCAGCGATTTGTCTTTGCCAATTCGTTGGACTGCTCCGAATTTGTCTTGCGCAAATGGAGTGTATTGCGACTGCCCACAGAACTGCACACAGCGGGAGGGGTGTTCTAATGTGTGTCGGTTTTGGAACATGGGCTGGTATTGGCGCTAAAATTAGCGCCTGCGTGTGAAATCTCTTGACACCGTAAAATGTGGGTTAGGGTTAGGGAGGGAGATCGAAACCGAGCGAAGCGAGGTGAGATCGACCGTTGAGTCGAGGGTGGGTAGGGCGAGCTGAGTCAACGGGGGCGTTGTGTGCTACAACGTCCCGTCCCGTTTCGCCTTTTATAGCTCATCAGGACTCTGCTTAGTGCATCCCTTTCGGGAAGTGCTTATCTCTTTGCCGTCTGTCTATCCGACGGCACAGGAGATAAGGTCAATTATGCTTACGATGCCGAACGCGGCCGGAGCTTTGTTCCGATAATGACTAAGTCCGATCGGACTATGTCATCATGATTACTTACTTAGGGTTAGGGTTAGGGTTAGGGTTAGGGTTAGGGTTAGGGTTAGGGTTAGGGTTAGGGTTAGGGTTAGGGTTAGGGTTAGGGTTAGGGTTAGGGTTAGGGTTAGGGTTAGGGTTAGGGTTAGGGTTAGGGTTAGGGTTAGGGTTAGGGTTAGGGTT